ATGAATCCACACCTCAAGTTGCCTGAGCTCTTTCCTCTTCTTCAAGATTTGACGCATGCCCGCATCTGGCACCACAGGCATTGCCTTCACAGGGGTTCCAACCTCTTCAGGTGCAACTGCAGGCTCAGGCCCCAGAGGGGGAGGAGCTTCTGACAAGTCGATGCTCCGATCCCCTGGCTTGGTCAGATGCTTCGGCTTTGCCTCGCCACACAATGAATGACACGACACATATCTATATATATATATTATATAGCTTTTCTGCCTTGCCCATAGCATAAGGCCCCTGCTCCTTTCAAAGAAGCAGTCTTCCCAACTGCACCCTTCACCACAATCACCTTCTCAAAAACAACAGTCTGGGAAATATGGAAAGCTATGCACTTCCAGTAGATCGCCTTGACTTCACGACCTCTCATTGTAGCAACGGCCCACCCGCCCAAATCGCTGTATGATAAGTGGGCTGCGGTTAAAGCAAACGGGTGTCAATTGAATTGCAAACATCAACTTGCAATATGAAGCTTTTGAATAGCAATCAAAGTCTGAGGCCAGTGCCTTGGTTGGTCTCCAAGGCTGCCAGAGCTGATCTTGAGCCATGCACATTATTCAATGAAAACATGACATTACCAACGCATCACGAACAACAGTATAACGCCACAGCGATGTTGCCCCAAAGTTCTGCATACAAAACGTGTCCACAAAAGTGAACTTGATCAAGCAAAACATCTTCAAACATGTACATGTCACACAGATCACACCTTCTGTGCACACCAGCTGGAGGGTTCTCAGCCCGATAGAGCCAAACCCATACCAAAACCCCTCCAACCCAGAACCCTAGCCAAAACCCCCCGGAAGGACCCTCTGGGTATAGAATCTCTCTCGAAGTTCACCTTTCTTATCATTCAAGGTCTTGCCAACCATCACCTCCCAGGCGTCGATCAGCTTCCATACGCCCGCCGTGTAGTCAGCTTCACGGAGGACCAGCTTCTCACCATCCGGATTGTCCGGATCATCCACCTCAGGGGTGTAGGCAAGGTCGTCGGGGGTGAACTCCAGAGCTCGAAGTCTTGCTGAGCCACGTTGTTTCATGGCGAACCTGGCTGCCAAGTTGAATCCTTTTGTCTTGGACAAGTCGATCGATGACAGCCACCAGGTCACGGTTCGTCGGAATTCACGAAGCGTGTCTGCTCGTCCGTCCCAAACAGGGATTGACGAGTCAAAGCCTGACTCGCTCCATCCTCCAGCATATCCATGGCCCTTCTCATCGCTCATCTCGCATGCACGTGCAAAGGGCTCGGTCAGCACGTCGAAGGCGGAGTCCTCGGTGGAGCGGTGTGCAAAGTCGGACCTGCAAGGTCCAGCAACAAAGCAAGGCCAAACTGGCCAACCAAAGGTGCCCACAGTCGCCTCAAGCGTCTGCTTGCGGAGCTCGGCGGCCTCCAACAAGCCGTAGGCAAAGTCAGCGAAGTAGCGCTACGCAAAGCGAGGCTCACAAAGGCGACCAGATCCAAACCAAAGGCTCCGCTACCACTAAGGAAGCAAAGGGCTCTACGATCGTGCGAAACGGTCGTCACACGAAAGTTCGGCTGCTATGCCTCTTTATGCTCGTGCCAGCAAGCTCAAGGCCTTTTAGGCCGCGACGAAACAAACTCGGCAACATGTCTGAAAGCAAGACCGAAGCGCAAACTCAAGTTTCACAATATATATATATGTGTGTGTCCACAAGCCGGTGTGACAGACAAACAAACAAACAAAAAAAACAACACAAAACGAAACAAACACGCACACAAATAAGTAGGCACACACGTGCACAATCACACAAAATACATTGAATCGTTGGTTAGGTCCAGGTTGCTGAAGAGATGGTCTGGATCTCTGTGTACAAACAGGTGAGTGATCAACCGCCACCATTCTCCGTGTTCAAGAGATGGCTGAGTCAGCACCAGCTGGCGATACTTGCTGAGCAGTTTCTGGCATGTCATCAAGCGCGGCCACAACAAATGTCCCGAGACAGCTTCTTCCATGGTCGGGATCCTTGTAACGTTGGGCCAGTCCCATCAGGAACTGCCCATCTTTGGCATGGATACAGTAACCACTTGTGGTACTGGCAATCTACAAACTGCCAAGAATACCGACCAGCCCGCCACCGTTCGAACTCGACATCAACATTCCCATTCATTGGTGTCAGGACAGCTGGTTTATTCGTGCCTTGGCGCACACACAGTCCTTGAGGTGTCCAAGAGGTAGCAAAACAATTGACCACACAGATCCACCAATTTCCACAAGTTTCCTATGGCTGTGACTCACCAATCCCCAATGACCTGGGGGGGCACACAAACCAAGCCCAGTCTCGCCGTCAGGGCTGCCAACAAAGGCGAGATGCAAACGAGGTAGTCCAGCTCATGTTGCAGCTGCATGCTGGGGACGCGCAAATGCTGCGCACGCAAAAACGCATGGCGTGATTCAACGTGGCAAACTGATTGGCAATTTTTGTTCCTCGGTTGCCCTTTTCGCTAGTTGTTGTTGAACTGATGGACGAAGCTTATCAATTCCTCGTGATTGTGGAGCAGGACCAATTATATAAGCGATGCAGAATTGTGACCCCATAGGAGTGTCAAAATGCAACCGGCAGCTAGTTCTCCAAAGGGACCTTTGAACTCTTTTCCGTTGGTTTGAGCTTTACGTGTCCTGTGGGTGTTGGGTCGCGACCCTGACCCGTCCATGTCCACCCAAGCATTAACGGTAATGAGTCAAATGAGTACTGAGCATTCCTAGTTGGATTGGAACAGCTGCCGGGTTTCTTGAGGCCTTCAGCTTCAACAGCTGCATTCAAGGCATCATACTCACAGGAACGTCTGCACGCCACCTGCGGGAACTCAACAACAAAAAACAAAACGATTAAAGAAATCCATAAGTCCATCTGTTCGTTGATGTCCCACATGTCTATAATTATAATTGTCTGCCTGCACAACACCGACATCAGAAAAGTTCTCCCACACACTCTGACATTGGTTTTCAGTTATCTATTCCCAAGTGGAAAAAAGGTGAGGGAACGGCAAGGCGAGAAAGTCGGCTCACTTGAAATGTTTAACAAATTGTTTGTGCGTGACTGCAGGGCTCAGCGGTGGCCATGGCAAGTAGGTTGGTTGGCCATCACTAGTGACTTGGTTGCATGCAACTGCAAGACACTCAAGGCTGGAGGCCATCACTAGTAGGTGGAGGCGACCGCAGCAAGGTTGGAGGCCCCCGCTACAAGGTTGGAGGCCCACAAGACTTGAAACTACAAAACACGTTGAACATGACACCACTGGGGGGCAAGTTCTTCCGTGGGAACTACGCTCTCTTTAGCTAGCTTCGACACTGGCTACTGTGCTCGAGGCATGCTCGAGAACGGCTCAAAAGAGCCGCAAATTTGTGCTCGATGGCCGCTCTAAACTCCCCAATGGGAGGTCTGGATTCGACATGCCCTCAACAAAAATTCATCAGGACAGCGCTGGGGAAGACCATCTTTTTGAGCCACCCGTAGGTGCTCGACGGTGTTGCCAGAGCTGGCATGCACCCTATTCACACTGGGAAGAGTTATGGTGGAAAGCCGTTAAAATGATGTCGTAACCGTTGGCCTCCTGAGTCTACGACCTTCAGATTGGGTGGGTATACTGTAAGTGCAACACCGTCGAGGGCTCTGACCACCTGCTGAACCTAAAAACAGCCTTGAAAAACGTCATCATCGGCTTCTCGCAGGTACGTGCAATCTGCGTCCAGATTGCATATCACAGCTAAACTTGAAGTGCCTTCGTTGAGCGGTGACTTCAAGAATGCCCACCGCTCCCCTGCTAGGTAAACGCTTCATGCTCGGTTGTCATGTACTTGACATGCAAGTGTCGATTAAACATGCCTTTCAATGCGCCAAATGGCAGGAAAACATGTTGCGTACGTTTTTCTGTCTGCGCCCTTGATGCGTCCAAGAGGAATGCGAACCAATCAGGTTAAGAGGCTTCCTCTGACGCACGAATGGCTTCGCTGCTCTGCCCCAGGAGGTGGGTGGAAATTTCTGGTCTTTGTGCTTTTGCCAATTGATACCCTCAAATCATGGCACCAGAGTGGACAAATTCACTGTTGAACCAAGGGTTCTTGCGGGTCAGTCAAAACGGGTGTAGACCTTCCCTGCCAGAGAACGGGGTGTGCAGGATGTCAGCGCCAGGCATGACTTCCACTCACATCCAAGGCATCTGAGGTCGTTAACATACACCTGGGACCTCCAACGGGCGCCTTTGCCAAGTTTCCTGACTAACCACGGTCTATATTATATCATTAACAGCCAAAGGACTGGAATGTCATATTGACTGGCCCTCACTTACCCATTCAAGAAAAATCTTGATCTTTGCCCTAGACCCCGCGCACGCTGGCTCGCGGCAATCCAGGTCTATGACGAAGAAAAAGCAACAGTGAAACCAAGTGCAGCACACAAACAACTCGATCCCACATACTTGTAGCGGGGGAGGCTTCGGTGGCATTGCGGGAGATCCCCATTCAGCACAGGCCCCGTAGGAGGTCGCAGCATGACGCGGCCCCATTCGGAGCCGGGCTGTGGACGCGTTATTGGCCGTTTAAAACGGCTCGGCCGGCTGATCCGCAGGGCCGGTCGAGGATGACAATCAACCCCGGACTTCAACAAAGACTGACTATATAACCTAGATTGATCTAGTCTGCCTGTCTGCCTGTCTGTGTGTCTGCCTGCCTGTCTGCCTGTCTGTCTGCCTGTCTGCCTGTCTGCCTATTTGCCGGTCGGTCTGTCTGCCTGTCTGCCTGTCCCTCTGTCTATACCTAGCTATATATAGTATGATGTATTATAATGTGTAAAGCAATATATATACATATACATCTAAAAGGAGTTTAATGGCAAAGCAGAGATACAACTGCTGGGAAAGTCCCACCGCCTATGTGGGATGCCGGCATATATGAAGCCGTGTTTGCTTTGGACATCCTCCACTCCGATGAACTGTTCCCTACTGCTCCCCTTCAGGGAGCTTGGGCTTCTCCGTGTTCGTCGCTGTTGGTGTTGATGTGCTTGGCGGCACCAGGATCGCTTGGAACCTCAGAGTGCATCCACAAAGGAGCCCTCCCAACCAACGCCTTTTGGAACCCTTCGGATGAATCTGGGCACGTGGTGGCCAGCTCTATGCCCAAATGTGCATTCAACAACCGTCACCAAAAGCTCTGAAAACCAAGGAGCTTCTTCAGGAAACAAGCAGCCACCTCGCTGTCCTCCAAACGATGTGTGAAGAAAGCAGTCGGCATCGGGCCACGAAGGCTTGTCCTGACATGCTCCTGTGCCACAGGGCAGGACAGCATTACACGGTTTTAGAGCACGATGAGTTTTGACTGACGGTCAGTTTTCCACAATTCCTTGCCGCCCATGAGTTATAAGATCTAGATGTGATTTGGCATTAAAGGTTGGCCAAATCAAGTTTCAGAACTAGTAGCAAGAAGCTACTGGTAGCTAAGGGCATCGCTACTAGTAACAAGTGCATTGCTACTAGTAGCAAGGACGGTTGACTTCATCCTTGGCACAAACCCAGCCTCCGGGCGTGTGCGCCAGAGCCGCCGCTTGGCGGCAAGGCATCGAAGGAAATCCTCCCAGGTGCTCAGGACCACCCCGTTTCAGCAAGCTCGATGTCTCCCACACCTACCCAGCACCTGCTTTGTTCGTTCTGGAGAAGATCTACATTCTAAATGGTACATAGTGATATCATGCGCTAGCTGCTAGCCAGCCCAAAGGACCGAAAAGGGCACCTTACATCAACCTCAGCGTGGACTACCCCCTTGTCCAAGAGGGGTAAGGCTCTGCAACCACTCAGTGACTTGTGACAAAAGGCTGCTTTGCAAATGCAGTCCATGGCACGATGCACTACCACTTTTATATCACTAGTAGTGATCAAACTCAGTTCATCCATTTCAGGGGCACCCGCTGCGACCTCCCACCCCGTCCCCTCCTCGTTGTGATTCTCCTTGCACAACTTCGCTCATAAGCTTCAAAAACACACCTCCAAAAACAAGCCCTAGCCCTAGAAGTCATTGCTTGGCAAGTATTGTTCAAGGATTGTGGCGTTGCAGCCTCAGAAAGGCTTCTGACGGGAAGAGGGGTGTCAAAAACCACACCCAACCTCAGCCACATGACCTCAATGACCTCGACGAAGCCGCACAGAATAAATTGCAGAAAAGATCATGGATCATGGAACATCATCCTGGAACTTCTTTAGCCCCCAACATCCGGGATAATGATTGCCTTTGCAGCGAATTTAAAGGTGGGCCGGTGGTTGTTCAGAGATTGACACAAGACTATCCTGCCCGTAGGGGGGCGTAGCCAGTGCTCAGCTGAAATTTGTGTAAAGCCAGCTTGGCATCAGGCTTCCACCAGAAATTGCACTCTTTCCGAAAGCTTACCGGAAACGGATAAAACAGAGTAACTTTTCTGCAGGTGCTTGCGTCTGCGGCTCCTTGTTGATTCTCTGTGCTGCACGGCATCTGTCTGACCTAGCGGAAGCAGGCTTTTGTTGCTTTCCCTTTGACCTAACCAAACGACCGGTCAGCGCTGGTGCATGAATCCTCTCTCTCAGGGTGGAGCATTTGTACATAGCAAAGGCGGCATACTTTGTAGCCCTGACAGCGGGAGCAGTGGTAACCGCCCGCAAACTTGCCGCATACATTACCTGAGCAAGCAAACAAGCAAATAGCACGAGCATCATCGTTTTCTTGCGAGGATCCCGTGTTGGTTTGTTTGGTAAAATCCTGACACGCCCAGGAAACGACCGGGACCAAGGTGAATCTGGAGCTGACTTGTGCAATGAATGGTAGCTCCAACGACTATGCCTTCACGTCGCAGAGGCGTCCCTTCGTTGATGACTGGGTTTGATCCAGGAAGTGCCCTCTTTGGCAGGTCGGCCACGGCCGCCGCATCGGTGGCAACGCCTGGCATGTGGCACGGCCAGCACTCTGCCCCGCTACCTGATAGCAATGGCCTCCAACCTACTGTAATAGCGAGTGGAGTCGGGCTGGGGCCATGACACATGAAGAGAATCATTGATGATGTAAGAATGCCCAGCTCAAAAGGAACTGAGTTGGAAGTAGAAGAGCCGCCGCCAAGCCTTCACCCATCTTCACCCTAACGTAACAAGGTTCCAGTGTTCATCCATCTGGCACTTCCTCCATCTTAAGGGGGCCCTTTGCGCAAGAACATGGACATGCCTCAGACATGTATCACTATCAAAATATGATATCATCCATGAATCAAAAGTTGATCTCCGCTCGCTTCGCCATTCAACCACGCGAACTGGTGATCCCCAAGGCCGTCCCATCGACTTCCCCGTCGCCTTGTTGGGCTCTAAGACCCTCACCTGGCCGGTCTCAGCGGCGAAGCTTTCGCATGGAGTTGGGAAATTGCGACCACAAAACAAAGCCGGGCTCAAAGGAAAGTGAGTCAAATGAGTGAAACCCTCAACTCTTCAGAGTTGGGGAGTCCTTTCAGATCAATGGACTTGTTGACCCTCATCTTCAAGGGACATTCATTCCGATCTAAATGAAAGTCGTGGTGCCTAACCAGCATCCTAAATTGAACATTCAGCTTTAGGGGTGCGCGCAACAAGCTGAACTTTCGGTCAACAGGCTCTAGAGCAAAGATTGCAACAGCATGTTGTCGACTTGGCGCTGAAACTCTCCTCAACCTTCCCAGCATCCGTCTCACTCAGGCCTCTCTGGAGGAGCTCTGAAATCGGTCCACATGCTTCGTCAAGAAGCTGGCCGCCTTCTCGGGTTCCATGCGATGTGTAAAGAACTCCACGTTCAGCGCCTGTCGGAAGTGCCGGAGGCCTTGGTCGGCACATCGGAGAAGCCGTGCTGCGGGGTACAATGCTGAGTGGATGAGGTTGATCCGCTAGAGCACCCAAATGTCCTCTACGCAGTACCCGCCCATCTGGACAAAGGGCGGCGGAACATGAGGTGCTAGTAACATACCCATCACCATATGGGTGAGGGTGTCTTGCTAGCCATTTTATAGAGATAAAATGGCGGGTCCAACATGCGCAAAGATGTTCCTTCTATAAAATGATCATTCCTTATCTTTTTTCTCTATGTTTTGACTCACCCAAAAGTGTCCATATGTGTCCATCAAAGGTCCAAAAACGCTAGTATACACAAGGCTTGCAAAAATGAGGAACTACATCAATACACTCCGTTAGTGACACAAGTTTAGCATCTTAAGAAAATAAGTTCGCTCTTCGCTCTATTGGAACATTCTGTTCAAGCAATCCTATCTCATTGTTCTTCTTTTGCTCTCAAATTTGAGCCGCCAGTGCATGCAGTGTGTTCAAATTCTGAACTGAAACTGACAACCAGCTTGCAAAAAGCAACATTCTCTACCAAATCAATTCCTGAGTCCCCCTAAGGGGGGTCTCATGAAACGTTTTATGGGAGTACCCAACCCCCCGATTTTACAGAGGATATGGGGTTGGGTATCTAGTAACTGACCATCTCAGCTCCCAGATTCAGCCGAGCCCAGGTTCCCAGATTCAGCCGAGCTACTAAAAAGATCCTGCCACTGCTTTCCTTTGGCCTGCCGCCTCCCGGAACGAAAACAAGTACTTGTGGATCAACACTTGAGCTTCTTCTTCAATATGGTCCACTTTCAGGCTTAGGCACGAATTGACCGAGGAAAAAGCAGGATTCACGCCTCCTTGCGATCATGATCTGCTTCTTGGTCGGGTGATCTAATCGTACAGCGTCTACCGGCAAGAGCTGCCACCCTTCAAGGACCGTGTCAGAATCCCAGGGTCTCCTGACCGAAGGAGGGCTGCAACGTACTGACAGGGCGGCCATGATGCAAATGCCCAAGTTTCACTATCTTCGTCACGGGAGTCTGAGACTGTCTGCGTCTTCCAAATCCCCCACTGACACAAGACAGTTCATGAACCCACCCTGTCCTCAGCCTGAGGCCTTCCTGAGATACATGTACATGACCGGAGCGGTGATCACACCAGCAAAAGTACTTCATAGAAAAGTTCACCTTTTCTCTCAATGATTCTCCATTCACATTTGGCCGAACCCATCGCGAGCCAATGGTTAAAGTTAGTTATTTCGAACTACGGCACATAGAACCACTATATATATATAAATGCAGTGGAGGCACACGCAAGAAGCACTTCCGGCAGATCGCATGCTGACATTCCCTGCGGTGTTGGCTGACCATTTCGGACCCGATACAGTACCTTTTTCCTCGCTCCCAAGGCACAAGAAAACGGACACATAAGAACAAAGCAGTCCATTGATTCGAACGAACGGAGGGCCAAACAAACTTGGCGACGAGTTGTCGATACAGGATGCTTACGGCTGCGCAACATGGCTTGAGGGCAGAGATGCGCACATCGACGATGCCCCACTACTCGCCTGTTTTCGCATCTATACAGCGCTTCTTCCCGGCCACACCTGGGCGACAGTCCACAGGCGGAACAAAACGACGTGGTGAGTGAGAGATGGGATGGTGCACGTCCCGGACTTCTTTCGCACGCAACCACCTGGCGCAAAGCATAATCAACAACTCTTGGCATCCTTGATTAAATGACATATTACAGTATATAAATGGAGGAGGTCAATGAGTGACAATATACCGGGGCAAAAATCAGAAAACCACATTCAAAACATTCAAGCCTCATGGGACCTCATCTTAAGTATTCGGTCGATGTTGATATGTGATGCTTCTGGAAAAGGCACGAGGTTTTTGACACACATCTTCGGGTGTTGCTTTTGGTCCCAGAATCTGCGAACAAAAGCCAAGACAAAGGGCATTGGTTGTGCACAGCCCATCGGGAACGTTTTGGGCTTTGCAGCCGGCTTCTGGCCCACAGTCCACGGACCGGTAAAATCAATGACAGATCTCACCCAAATGCAAACACCTCTTCAGGTCAAAAATGCTGTTCGGCTAAAAGGCTCGATCTTCAATACCGGCTCACCGCTAAGGCCACGTGGAAAGCACCAGACTGACTATGCCGCCGCGCGACGCACACCTCTCGTCTCCAGGCTTCGTCCGCTTGTAAATGTGCCGCCCAGGAGGGCAACGAGGCTTCTCCAACTGTCGGCTGAAGAAGGTTTCGAAGGCAAGAGGCCTCACACCCTGGGACCACGCGAGCATATGTTAAGTACAGTATTTTGCTATGCGGCCTTCTTCCTTGCACAGTTGGCATAGTTGTGACCTTTTTTATCTTGCGTTTCTTGGGGGTGGGAAGGTGTACACTTCATAGGTGGAGGACCGTCTTAGGTGGAGGCCATGACAATTAGGTTGAAGGCCATTTTCCGGCCCTTTTCCGGTTAGCCTCTTCCGGCACTCGTGTGGCGCTCGAGGAAGAAAGTCGGCACGCACAGCGCATCGCCTGTCGTCATCAGCAAATGGGGACGAGCAGGGTCTTCATCTTTATGCCATATGGGTGGGGTGCCGTCGTGTCCAACAAAAGAAGACGCCTGAAAGAAGTCAATGAGGAATGATCATGAATAAAGACCTTTAAATGAAGTCTTTCCATTGAATCCTTCACCTAAGCATCTTGGGGCTTTGATCCATCGATATTTCGAGGAGTTTGTACGGTCCAATTGGGGGGTTCCCCCCAGCCTGGTCTCGCCGTTCAGCCGCCCAGTCGTGGTGCGCATGAGCTTTCCAGTAGGCCTGGACCACAGACCGGCAAGCCAGGCGGGGGTTCGAGTGGATCAAATGTGCAGTCACTGCAGTCTCTACGGCTACGGAAGTTGAGGGTGACATGTTCAGCACCCTAAGTACGAGTACACCCCATCCTCACCACCGTGGCTCCCTCCCTGCCTCCTTGATACGCTGCGCGCAGTAGATGCAAACATCGAAATCACAAGGCCTCACCAAATGTTTGCGGTCACGAGTCGCCACACATTCCCACAATTGTATGCATGTCATGACAGGTCCAATTCAACACGTCCCTGCACATTGTCCCGAACAAGGACCGTGAGCATCACGGGCCCGTGAATGCCAGCCACCGAGGTCGATCACGGCCCAACGGTCCACCCTCTGGGATCAGCGGCTGGCAACGAAAATGTATCTTGTTGTGGCCCTGATTGTCATCGTTCTCGTTGCACCTGCCGCGAGCCGGAGGAGCGGCTCCCGTTGCACGGCCGCTCTTCTCCCGGCTCTTGTAGGAGCCCTACCGCAGTCACCGAGGGCCCAACCACTCACGGGAGCCGGATCCCACCTGTCGCACTGGTTCCCTCCACTGGTCTGCATCAACTTGAGCTCGTGGCCACGCTCGCAGCGCATGGCCGGCGCCTTCGAACAGTAGAATATCCACAGCGAACCGAATTGGAATGGATGCCATTTTGGATCGGGTATGGTATGGAGAATTTAAGAATGTTGAAAGCACGCTAGATGAAATACATTCCTCGAATTCTTAGGTGTACGAGGGCCTCGATGTCCTGCTTTGAGCTCGGAAGGTAAGAGCTGTACGCGGTAAACAGTCCCCAGCAGCTCGGAGGCGGGATTTGAACGACAAATTGACCAGCCGATTGACCCATATAGTTTGCAGCCGCGATTCCGCCGCGTGCCGAGCCTGATCCGGAAGAATGATGTCATCCCTGATGACCTGAGGAGAAGACCAGACCAAGGAGCGATGATCATAAAGAGAGAGAGAGAGAGAGATGGGAGCGCCAAAAGATCTAACCAAGGGTCGTGTTCCTTGGCAAAAGCATAGCAAGTTCCAATGTCTTGCTTTTGAGATGGGTGGAGGGGTGATATAGGGTGATGCAGGCAAGGGGCGCCATCAGCCAGCATCTTCCAGGGGCTGAATTCGGTTGACCACTCCTTGGTGGTTTCTCCTCAGCACTAGAGCAGGACTTCTGACACGAAATGACACAAAATGTACAAGCGTGATCTCATCTACATCGATGTCCTGATGGACACTCTCTCTCTCTCTCTGTGCAGTGTCTCCGGCCCTCATCCTTTTGGAGGGTTGGCTAACTATATAACTCTATATAGTATGTTGGCAGGGCAAATGGGGAAAGCATAAGGAACAACACAACACACATACAAAACATGCACATGCCTTAAAAACTCACCGTTGAAGTGGAACCAGTCAAACCACAAGTGACTTTGCAGAACGGCGGATCTGCTCCAGTCCTCGTAAAGCCAGGGCCCACTCAGAGCACACCTTCTTTTGGATCCTTTCACCTCAGAGAGACAGGCAAGACCCAACCTTGTCGGGCTTAGACTCTACCCTTGGAATGTCGAGTGCACCTCAGCAATTGAAATCACGACATCACGCCAACTGAAGTGCACATCAAGGAGATAGAGATACAACTATGCACAAGTCAAATACAGTACGCCTCTATTGTGTGTGATGTACACAACACAAAAGTATATCAGTATACAGTACACATCCGCGGCATTCCAAGTGACTCTTGGCTGTCGCTTCACTGCGAGCTGCTTCCAGATCATTGGGATCCTTGACTTTTGGGACCGGAGCGATGATGCCCATCTGCATGATCGGCCATGGCTCCAAGCGGAAGTCCCATGCAACGCCTCTCCACCCACAAGCCCCAGTGAAGGTCCCAACTCATGGCAAAGGCGACAACACTGGCCTTTGTGGCCCCACAATCCCCCCCCCAAAAAGAACACTCCTCGACGACCAAAGTCCACCTCCCCCCACGAGTCTGCCATCCCATGACATGCCATCGCACACGCCATCACACCAACAAACCCGCCGCCTCTGCGCGACCACCGTCGCAGCTGCTGGGGGGCTGAGGGCGGCAGCTCCGGCAGAGCCATCTCGTTCAGGACTCGCTGGAAGTCACTTAACCGATTCCCTGGCCGTGCAACGGGAAAAGACCGCGACAGGAAATGCTTTGCGAAATCGCTTCTTTGAGATTCATACGGTTCAGTGCTCTACCAGCCATCCCATCAACACTCATAAACAGCCCAACTAACACTGCATCCCACCAACAGCCTGATTAAAACTGCATATCACTATCAATACCAAGCTCAAGTAATTTATATAGCCGACTCCTCTCGTCGGCTTTGTGCTCAGCACAGGACCCCCAACTTGACACGTTTTGCATATGATTTAAAGGACGTCATGTGGCGTGTCTGCGGCCTGGGATGTCGAAAGGTATGCGCGCGGTCGGGCGCGGCTTCGGGGAGAGCCACTTTTTCGTGGCGGCTTCACAGGCCGTTGCGACCACGTCTCCCAGACTTGCTAAATTATGGTTGGCAACGCTGTAGCTCTTGAGGGGGCAGACTATGATCACTACAAATTACACCACCGTAGACCCCAAACAGGTTAGACAACAACGAAGCATTCCCAAGTCCACTTTTTGAGACATCAAGAGGGGAAACAAGACGGACACAATGACAAACAACCCGCCGGGTGTGGAATCGCACGTGTAGTCGTGCAAATTTTGATTCAAAAGTGCAAGCCCTCTCAGTACTTTTGCTTCTTCGATGATGTTTTTGGGGGGTCCCGGATCCTTTCATTTTTAAAGCCGAATCTGCCGAAACCCAAGCGCCAGCGCAAAATCCGTCGCCGTTTTTGTCCCGGGCTGTCCTCAACTTTCATGCGTCCTGTCTCAATTAGACTTGCGCAGTTTTTTTGCACAAGTTAGTACACGTGGTGTTTTCCCAACGCCACTGCCATCCGCGAATGTACACATCAATCTTTGGATTGAAGGATCCATCTGACTTTGTCAGCACGCTCGGTGGAATCGCTGCCTTGCACAGCTTCCAGCAATGTTCTCAGCATGACATCCACATCCTCATTCCATCAACTTCCCCCACCTCCCCCCCACGTTTTAATCACACGACTAATCGCTGACAATGTTATGAAACCGATGACAATGATATGAAACCCAAGATTACTTATTGCGAAGTCGATGACAATGTTCTCAGCATGACATCCACATCCTCATTCCATCACAACCGCCCCCCCCACCCCATTTTAATCACACGACTAATCGATGACAATGTTATGAATCCGATGACAATGTTGGCAAACCGATGACAATGTTATGATAACGATGACAATGTTATCAAACCGATGACAACGCTATGAAACCGAAGATTACTTATCGTGAAATGGATGACAATGTTGTGAAACCGATTATTGAATATCATGAAATCGTGCATATATGCATGTACAAGAAACACCGAAAAACCTTTCACGTATAGCATCAACTTCAAAAATCGCAGTAGTCACACGTTCGGTTTTACACCCGTAGGCACAAACAAAAACGGAGACAAGAAGGGAGACAATAGGAAACAAAGAGAGACAAGACGGACACAATGACCACCAAGAAGGGAGACAAGACCGGAGAAAAAGGGAGAGAAGGGAGAGGGAGAGGGATACAAAAGGAAACAGAAGGGAGACAAGACGGACACCATGATCAACAAGAAGGGAGACAAGAAGGGAGACAAAAGGACACAGAAGCGAGACAAGGCGGACACAGTGACCAACAAGAAGGGAGACAAGAAGGGAGACAAAAGACCAACAAGAAGGGAGACAACAAGGGAGACAAGAAGGGAACAGGAGGGAGACAAGACGGACACAGTGACCAACAAGAAGTGAGACAAGACAAGACCGCAGACAGAGGGAGACAAGGCGGACACAATGAACGGAGACAAAAGGAAACAGAAGGAGACACAGACCAACAAGAAGGGAGACAAGACCGGAGACAAAGGGAGACAGGAAGGAGACAAAGCGGACACGCTGACCAACAAGAAGGGAGACAAGACCGGAGACAAAGGAAGAAGAAGGGAGACAAGGTGGACACAATGACCAACAAGAAGGGGCGCAAGACGGGAGACAAAAGGAAACAGAAAAGAGGGAAGGCGGACAAAGTGACCCACAAGAAGGGAGACAAGACCACAGACACAGGGAGACAAGAAGGAAAACAAAGCGGACACAATGACCAACAAGAAGGGGGACAACAAGCGAGACAAGAAGGGAGACAAAAGGAAACAGAAGGGAGACAAGACGGACACAGTGACCAACAAAAAGGGAGACATGACCGGGAGACAAGGCGGACACAATGACGAAACAGGACGGGAGACAAGAAGGGAGACAAGGCGGACACAATGACCAACAAGAAGGGAGACAAAATGAAACAGAAGGGAGGCAAGACGGACACAGTGACCCACAAGAAGAGAGACAAGACCGGAGACAAAGAAAGAATGAAGGGAGACAAGGCGGACACAATGAGAGACAAAAGCAACAGAAGGGAGACAAGACGGACACAGTGACCCACAAGAAGGGAGACAACCGGAGACAAAGAAAGAACGAAGGGAGACAAGGCGGACACAAGCGGACACAAGGGAGACAAGGAGACACAAGGGAGACAAGACGGTGACAGTGACCAACAAGAAGGGAGGACAAGACCGGAGACAAGAAGGGAAGACGGACACAGTGACCAACAAAAAGAGAGACAAGACCGGACACAAAGGGAGACAGAAGGGAGACAAGGCGGACACAATGACCAACAAGAAGGGAGACAAGAAGGGAGACAAAAGGAGACGGAAGGGAGACAAGGCGGACACAATGACCAACAAAGGGAGACAAGCAGGGACAAAAGGAAACAGAAGGGAAACAAGGCAAATACAGTGACCAACAAGAAGGGAGACAAGTTGAGACCGGAGACAAAGGGAGACAGAAGGGAGACAAGGAAATGCTGCATGGCCAGCGGAAAAGGGCCAGCTGTGACAGAAAGGGCGGACACGTCTTAAAGAAGAATTGAGAACCCCCAACAGTAAACTGTTTCGGGAATGAATAGAAATGCTGCGTCGCCAGCGGAAAAGGGCGGACACCAGCAGTGACAGACCTGGGAGACAAATGAATAGAAATGTTACCTGGCCAGCGGAAAAGGGCGGACACCAGACAAATGAATAGAAATCCTACATGGCCAGCGGAAAAGGGCGGACACCAGCAGTGACAGACCTGGGAGACAAATGAATAGAAATGCTACATGGCCAGCGGAAGAGGGCGGACACCAGCAGCGACAGACCTGGGAGACAAATCCATAGAAATGCTACATGGACAATGGAAAAGGGCGGACACCAGCAGTGACAGACCTGGAAGACAAATGAATAGAAATGCCGCGCTACATGGCCAGCGGAAAAGGGCGGACACCACCAGTGACAGACCTTTTTAGACAAATGAATAGACATGCTACATGGCCAGCGGAAGAGGGCGGACACCACCAGTGACACAAAGGGCAGACACATCTTAAGAAAGAATTGAGAACCCCTAACAGTAAACTGTTTGGGGAAAAATCAAGGAGTTCGAGCAGTCCAGAGACGCCTTGATCATTCCACGCGCGGCTCCAAAGATTCATCAAGAACGCCAAGCCCTTCTCTGCATCTTTGGGCCGAAAGACCTCCGCATTCCCACCGGAATCCTCATAGTGCTTGGCTTTGCTCACAGGCCTCGTATTTTGAGTCTGTCCATCCGGCCCATCTGAAAAAGGATCCGTCAGTTGTATATACAGTCTAAGGTTCCACGAAAACAGTTGCTTACACCCAAGCGTCACTTCCCCTCCTACCACCCTTTCAACTTTACAACACACGTCATGCCTACATGCCTATGCTGCAAGTGCGACATTTACTGCAAGCTGATCACATATGAGGGCGCATGTTCTCTAGAGCGAACTAACGCCACCAGGCACACCTTCCGAACTAACGGAAGCAGGACTAGCCTGCGAAAACTGGGTGTCCCGGTAGTGATGCGCTCGTGCTTCCCTATAGATCGGGCAAGACAATTTTTTGTCTCTAAAAAATTAACTATTTAGATAATTTTTAAAACTATTTTCGAAAGAAATAGTTAATTTTCTTTAACTATTTTTAAGACAATTCTGGGTGCATTTCAAAAAATTTAACTTTTTTTTAAGGACAATTCTTGGGACAATTCTATAATTTGTAGTGTTTAAAAGACAATTCTTGGTGTCATTGTTGTTTAAATTTTTCTTTTTTCAGGCAGTTTTTGAAGTATGTATTTGTTCAATACATTTTTTGAAACAGTTCCTGGGGCAATTCTGCTTGTTAAAGCTACTTTCTTGAGACAATTCTTTCTGTAAGTCTGAATTTCAAAACCTTGTTCTTTAGACAAACCATATCAATATTATAGAAAATGTGTTTGGCTGGCCTGCTTTCTGCTTGCAATAATCCTACACATCTCCATCCAGAACCTTCAAAATGTGACCCAACTTGGTCCAAAAAGAGCAATAATCCTACAACATTGTGCAACTTGGTCCAAAAAGAGCAATAATCCTACAACATTGTGCAATAATCCTATATTGTGTTTGCAGACCAATAATCCTACCATACCATTGAAGAAGCAATCCTATCATGCTTGCTGAGAAACAAACCTGACATGTAATTGAAAATGTCAAAAATCATACAGAACTGATTGAAACTGAACATTGTTATTGCTTTATCCCCCTAGGCAGCACTCTTCTATTTCATTTTGCACCATATTTCACCCAAGCCTGGCAAACTTCCTTGCTTTTCCATAGTCCCTCTTTGTCTCCTCCCCTTCATGGCTTGCTGAGTCATCATTGGATGACTTGCTTGAGCTGCTGCCATCCTTCTCATCATCTTCCTCCAAGGTCCTCCATCCTGCTGTTTTTGCTCTCAAGGGAAGGGCTTTGACCTTTGCTTTCGGTTCTGGGTCTGCAGGGTCTTCTTTGGACTTTCCCTTGGCCTTGGCCTTGGGCTTTGCTTTGGCGCCAGGTTTCTTTTCATGTTCCTTCTTCTCCTTTGTCCCCTTCTTCGACTTCTCTTCGGTTTCCTTCTTCTTGTCCTTTGTCTCCTTGCTCTTCTCTTCATTTTTCTTCTTCTTGTCCTTTGTCTCCTTAGTCTTCTCCTCTTTTTCCTTCTTCTTGTCCTTTGTCTCCTTGGTCTTCTCTTCTTTTTCTTCCTTCTTCTCCTTTTTCTCTTTGGTCAATTTCTTTTCCTTCTTCTTGCCCTTTGCCTCCTTGGTCACATTCTCATCTCCTTCCTCCTCTTCCTCAGAGGCAACCACCCTTCCATCATCCTCCAAGGCCAAAAGCCCTGTTTCTTCACTTTGCGCTGGCTTCTTTCTAGGCTGAGGCATGGCACTGTATGGTATTTTGCTCTTGCTTGAGCAAGTATTGCTGTTGGAGGGTCTAAGCTTACAGCTGCACCCATTAGCTTCCAATAATCCTAACCTCAAAAACTCTGCCAGAAGCAATCCTAGAAGTTTACCCCAAAACCAGTAATCCTAGAAGTTGCCAAAATAATCCGACACCAAAAAATCCACAGACTTCAACTGCAAGGAGACAGCTGTCTTTGGAACAAAAACTTTGGTCCATACAATATTGCCTTTTGTTTAGAGAGTACGACGCCCTGGAGGTGTGTTTTTTCAGTGTTTTTTGCGTTTTTCTATGATTTTCAATAGATTTTCTATGTTTTCGTTGCATTCACCCATCTGGTACACATCACTTGTGCCCATAGCCTGCTGCCCCTTTGCCATGATCTTATCAACAGATTTCCTCATCAAGCTTTTAAACACATAGCTAAAGTCTGTACCTGTCAATTGCATCATAGCTGTCATCTGTGGAGGAATGATAGACTGTAGCTGATGGGCTGCATACATCTTCTTGTATATATCATCGCTAAACGAAGCAGCAAAGCAATCCCTCTGATAGATGGATACTGGATACATCCTCCCTTGCTTTGCAATGACCCATGACATAATGATATTGTCCTGATTGGAGGATGGTTGGGAATAAACATCATAGTGCTCCAACAAATGAGGATGACCCCTTCCATTGCTCCAATGCCCTCCTGGCACTCTCTCCCTTCCTATGCAGCTTGATGTCTCCCAAATAGTTAAATGATTCATCCTCAATCCACCTGCCTTTGTCATCAATGTTGTCCAATCTTGCATGTTGCCCAGATACTATGAGCGCCCCCTTGCACACATGTCCGGTGGGGTCCTCATCAGGGTTGAAGAAATTGCTCACCAGCTGATGGGCCTCAAAGGTAATCCTCATCTTCTCAGTTGCTGAGTCCGTCATGATAGTCAAATGAGCTCTTCCCCCACCCTTTTGATCCTCAGTGGTCACCAATTGCCAATCTTGCTTCGTCTGATCATCCAATGCCTCAAGGTCCTCATTGGGTTCCTGTCTCATGGGCTTGTTGGTTCAGCTCATCTTGAAGGTCCCTCCTAATCTTTTTGATGGTCTTCCCATGTGTCCAGGTCTCATGGCCTGCAAATACAGCCTTAGTTGATCCCTTTTTCACCCATACAGGAACCTGATCTGAGAATCCAAGCATACATTCAGGCTTTGCCACAAATTCCTTCAGATCTTCATGCCCCATGGACACAAGGCTCATGATATAGTCATGGTGGTTCCATGCCAATTCTGCTGAAATCTGCTGCTCCTCATTGCTCAAGGGCGCCAACGCATTTGGGGAATAGCATCCATAAGCATCTTGGCCCTCTTGTCCCTTTGCTTATACCCCTCTTTGATACTCTTCATTTGGGATTCAGCCCTTTCCAAGTGATTGATACAAAGAATATTCTGGGACCCATCTTCCAGCTCATCCCTTTTCTCCTCAAGATTGACTTTCTCCACTGATAGCAGCTGAAAATATTTCCACGCAAGATCCTCTTCATGCCCCATGGACACAAGGCTCACGATATAGTCATGGTGGTTCCATGCCAATTCTGCTGAAATCTGCTGCTCCTCATTGCTCAAGGGCGCTGGAGTCATATGTTTGGCATCTTTGCCCTCTTGTCCCTTTGCTTATACCCCTCTTTGATGCTCTTCATTTGGGATTCAGCCCTTTCCAAGTGATTGATACAAAGAATCTTCTGGGGCCAATCTTCCAGCTCATCCCTTTTCTCCTCAAGCTTGACTTTCTCCACTGATAGCAGCTGAAAATATTGCCATGCAAGATCCATCTTCTGCACCCCATGCCCATAACTCCTTTCCCTTTCCAACCATGTCTTAACCTCACCAACCAAGTGGGGGAATTGTTGCTTGGCACCCCCACCTGATGCCCTGACTCATGTGGTTCCCACCTGATGCTTTTTTCCCTTTGCTCAATCCACTCCTTTGCGTTCTCTCATCTGCTGTTGTGCCTTGCTGATGCTTCA